CCTACAAGTGACTTACAGTTTTCAAAAAAGCTACAATAATATTATGTACATTTTCTATATCTCTAGCTATAAATTCGTGTAATATATTTTACATTAAATTTATTTTAACTATATTTTACAGATTCTGAGCTGCTTTGCCTTTTACCCACTATATTTCTAACTAATGGCTTCCAACCTATCCTTGATGACATAAATGCCTGACTCAAGCTAAATCAAATCAATTTAAATCAAACAAAATGCAATTGTAGCAGAACCCCTTTACTTGAAATAACACAAGCTTTATAAGGATTAAGTGTTCTCTGTTATATTTTTATTGAAAATTTTAATAGTAAAGTTATGCAACATGAAATAAAATGGAGGAAAAAAAGCTAAATACTGCTGTTGGGATAACTCCATTTCTGGCTTTTCATAACAAAGAATACTTTATATAGTGTCAACACAATAAATCACCACAAGCAAATATAATTAGATAACTTAAAAATGCTATCCATTTATTCATGTCATAAATCTTTGACATTTGGGCATGGAGCTTCTTATTCTGAACGGGCATACAAATCTATAGACTTTTAAAATCTTTATGAATTATTTTATATTTTTATAATTAGCCTTTATTAAAGCAAAAATAAAAATAGGAGCACCCTCTGTCATCTCTTTCATGTACTAATAACTTTTGTAAACTAGTTATATTTTACATCTTTATGAAAATTTAATATAATTCTGGAAAATAATAAAGTGCACAGATTACACTAAATTTTTATATTTAAGCATAAGAGACAGTATTTATTGGGGTGGTGCTGTTGTAACTAGACCCTTTATTGTATAAACATCCCTACCATACACATGGTAATTGGGTTCCTCTAGGTCAGGTGTGTGTGTCCTACAATGCTCAGAAGATACCCTAAACTCTGGACCTTCAAAAACAGCAAAAGAAATGAGCATAGAAAAATATCCAGAAAACAATAATAAACTATATATACAGGCTTGCAGCAAATTGTTAAGTGCTTGGTTGCTAAACGAAATGTCAGTTTTATGGATTGAATTGTGTCCCCCCAAAATGTGTATCAACTTGGCTAGGCCAGATTCCCAGTATTGTGTGGTTGTCCACCATTTTGGGATAAGATGTGATTATCCTATGTGTTGTAAATTCTAACCTCTATGATGTTAATGAGGCAGGATTAGAGGCAGTTATGTAAATGAGGCAGGACTCAATCTACAGGATTACGTTGTATCTTGAGTCAATCTCTTTTGAGATATGAAAGACAGAATTGAGTAGAGGGGAGAGGGACCCCATGCCACCAAGAAAGAAGCTCCAGGAGCGAAGAGTGTCCTTTGGACCTGGGGTCCCTGCACTGAGAAGCTCCTAGACCAGGGGAAAATCGATGTCAAGGACGTTCCCCCAGAACCGACAGAAAAAAAAGGCCTTCCCCTAGAGTTGGTGCCCTGAATTTGGACCTCTAGCCTCCTAGACTATGAGAGAATAAATTTCTCTTTGTTAAAGGCATCTACTTGTGGCGTTTCTATTATAGCAGCACTAGGTAACTAAGATAGTCAGTTTGAATCTACTAGCCACTCCGAAGGAGAAAGATGTAGCAGTCTGCTTCCATAAAAACTCCAAAACCAAACCCATTGCTATAGAGTCAATTCCAACTAATAGCGACCCTGTAAGGACAGAGTAGAGCCCCCCATAGGGCCTTGGAACTGAAAAGGAAGGTTGTGACTCTCCTTGGTTGTGTTCTGCTAGGTTGGCAGGAGTCGGTGAAGTCCATGATGCATACGCATCACATCTGCATTATCTCTAGCTATGTCTAATTTTTCTTGCACTACTTTTTTTGGGCTCCTCTCTGTATCTCTTCAAAAAAGGTATCAAACATGTTGAGTGCCCTCCAATTGCTAGCTGTCTTTACATTTACAACCTTATTTTGTACTCACATCAGACTGTGAGGTAGGTATAGCTTGATTTTATAGATGAGGCTTCTGAATCTCAGAAAGATTAAGTAATTGTCCAAGATGGGTCAAAACCAAACCAGTTGCCTTCTACTCAAGTTCGACTCAAAGTAGAACCGTGCTCCATAGAGTGTCAATGGCTGGGATTTTTTTGAAGTAGCTTTCCAGGCCTGGATTTGAACAGCTAATCTTTTGGTTAGTAGATGAGCACTTAACCGTTTGCACCACCCAGGGACTCCCATGGTGGGCCTAATAAATAAATAATGGACCCAGCTCCACCCGACTTCAAAGCCCACATGCCTTCCACTGCCACAGGTCTCCCCATTCCCTCTGGTCATTGACAGACATGACTAGAACTGGGGAGTATGTAAGTGCACAGTTTCTCTGATATTGAGACATCTGAGTGAAGTATGGTGTGCAATGGGAGGCCCAGGACATACCGGATGAGATCCTCCAGGCAGTTAAGACATCCTCTCTGGTCTCTTCCTACACATATTCTAGGATTCTAGGATGCTCAAGTGAATATAATGTGGTGTCAATATGCAAAACCTGGCTTCCCTGATCTTGTTTGGAAAACACTTAAATTTCACAAGATGACTACCACAGGCTGCAAAGAGTCTTTCATTACTGCCACACTCAGAACAGGCTATGAAGCAGGGGCTCAACATTAGGAATACCTATTAAACTTCTACCCCAGGAAGCAGGACTTTCGAGGCTAAATATATTGATTTACAGTTAACTATGACAGCTGCAGAATTCATTTTTAGGGATAAGCATAAAAATGTAGCCGTTCTCAGAAACTATCACAATATTGCTGCTTCTTTCTATGCCACTTCTTTTTTTTTTTAAGGGATACTTATTTTAGAAAGTTTTTCTTGTAATTGCTTAGTTAATACCACAGCCAGTGAACAGAGAGATAGCTTATGTATTTTGCTGAGGAAACAGTCATTAAAAGCTCTTTTAGGAGCATCTTGCTGCTAATGTCCCTGTCTTTATTGTCTTTGTCAAGTAACATTCAGTAAGGACCCAGAATGCTAAAAACAGGTCTGTGTGGCAGAGCTGATCTCTAGACAAGTGTTAGCATTTCACCTTGGACAACAGCGATGACAAAATATTTAAGCTAAAAGAAATGCCACTGGATGTTACCCCAAAGGACAGAAGTTGTCATATAAGAAAAAAAAAATGTAAGAAAAGGTAGGGTCAGGTGAGATACATGCCACTTTCAGAGGCCCACAGATAGCCTGAAGCTCTACTGATTTTCCTCTAGAAAATAAGCAGTGATAAATTATTGCATAACATCTTCATTTTATGTGATTGAAAGCCATTTATAAGCATCTACAAGGTGAACAAGGGAGCTGGAGTCAATGGCTCCAGAGTGGCTTGTGCCTCCAGGTTATCCTGGGGATGACTTTCTAGCTGGAAGCCTGGTGAGGGGCACAGCAGGGCACTGACTAGTATGCGCTTCCTGATGGTTAGAGCAGGGGGCTGGAGCCTGACTCACACTGGCTAGAGCTAAAGGCAACAGTGCACAGGTCTGCCTGCAGCAGGGATGAAGAGAGGGCAAGGGGGCGGATGAGTGAGTCTTTGGCAACGGAACTAGAAAAGCGTGCTTAGGTGGAATCAGTCTACACTCCTAGAACGAGAGCATGTTCTATGGAATAGATGTGGACAGTGCAGGACAGCTGGCCTGGAGTGAGTCGCCTGAGGTTGCCAGGAGTATCCAGGCAATCTAGGCTGAATGGGGCTAAGTGTGCCAACAGGTGCCCAGGTCATGACGTGCATAAAGGGAAAAAATGCACTGACTGGTTCTAGAGGTTGCTTGAAACAAAAAAACAAAAATCCTGCTTCATAGCTTTGTAATACCTGTGCGTGTGACCTCATAATCCTTTTTCACATGAGCAATAAAACTCAAACTGAATTTTGAATAAGAAAGTCAGTTAAATCTCAATTCTCATCTTTCGAAAATTCAAAAGAGTCAGAAAATTCAATACAGAATTTAACAATCGCACGGCTATCTGAAATTGAAATACAAATATGTATAAAGAAACCTTTGATGTCTTTCCATTTTGGTCTGACCCTGAAGATAATTTAGAGGAAAATTCTAAGGCATCCCCATAATCTTGATTTGTCTATCATGCTGTGAACCTGTCATTTATTCTAATAATACTTACATGAATATTATACTGTAATGTCTTGGGGCCCTAGTGGTGCAGTGGTTAAGAGCTCAGGTTGCTAACCAAAAGGTTGGCAGTTCGAATCCACCAGCCGTTCCTTAGAAACCCTATGGGGCGGGTCTACTCTCTCCTATAGGGTTGCTATGAGTTGAAACAGACTGGATGGCAATGGGCAGGTAATATCTTGATTCCATTTAAAAAAATATATGGAAGAAAAAGATACAGCATCAAAACAGAAAGAACACATGGGGTTACACATGTTGCCTTATGAATGCTCATGACCATGGTTTAATTCCTTCCATAAAGTTTTCTGGAATTAGTCACGGGCATTCGTTGTTTGCTACTTTGAGTCAGGTGGGTTAACATTATCACTGAAGAAAAACATCTAAGTTATTGTATACAGATCCATCATTAAAAGTATGAGCTGAAATGAATTTTAGCCACCTAAAATGTTAGTTAGTGAAAGCTGGCAATCGAAGCTGGTTATTAATAGGTTTTAAAAGAGAAAAATTAAGGGGAGGAATAAGATTCAGACTTAGAGTTTTACCATAAAGCCAGAAAAATATAAAACAATAAGCCATGCAAAACTGCTTTGCTACACTCTTTCTTCTTTCAGGTGTGTCTAGAAGCACCACATGCCTCAAATGCAAAGACAGAGGAGGAAGTGATGTCATGGTTGCAAAATATATCATTGTATAAATCTAATATCATGCTGTTGAACTCTGGTCATCTTACATAAAAATGGCAACGTTTTCTTAACTAATTCACTAAGATGCTGTGGGAAAAATTGATTCCTACATTCTTTCCCTCTTTTTGGAGGGTGTCCCTCACCCACCAAAGGCCGAGGTTATAATTCGAGACAACATTGGCGCATTTGCTTACCACAGGTCTGTGTACATCCCAGAATGCTCTCTCTTGGCTATCAAGGATCTTCCTTTCAATTTTGTCTCTTTTCTTGTCCACTCTGTCAACATTGTAACAATGAATAACAAATAGGGTTAATTGTAGTGCCTCTCTGGAAAAAAGGCCACAACTTGAACAAATCTTCCAAAAGACTCACAAGGACTCACTTTGCTTGTGCTTCTGCCTGCATAAAAATGAACTCCCACTTCCGGGCAAATGCTCTCTGCAGCCTGGCCAAGCTCTCCTGAAACATATACCACAGGTTACGAATTTTGGTACTTATCTTCACTACTTTCTTCTAGCTTATCAAAAACGCATTTGTCAGAGAATGCAGAATTTCTAAAATACTACATGTACTCTGGTTTTGAATGGTAAGTCGTGCTCACTGAATGCAGGGGACCCTCATACTAACAGTCTTAGAGTAAACAGGAACACCTATTCAAATATTAATTTTTTAGAACAACTGGCTTTAGAGAGTGTAACTAAAAATTGAATAAATATCTGTAAAATATTAAAATTATGTCATATGAAAAAAGTGCTCAAAAGTAACCCATGGATTTTTCTGTGCCCAAGTTACACAGAGGTACAGGAAAACAATGCATTTAATCAGTCTATTCTGTTTCCCACAATAAATGTAAATCCTTGCCAGCCCATTAAAACCAAACCCGTTGCTGTCAAGTTGATCTCGACTGGTAGTGACCCGATAGGGCAGAATAGAACTGTCCCATAGGTTTCCAAGGTTGTAATCTTCACAGAAGCAGACTGTCACATCCTTCTCCCATGGAGCAGCTGAGGAGTTCGAACTGCTGATCTTTTGGTTAGCAGCCGAGTGCTTAGCCACTGTGCCACCAGGGCTCCGCGCCAGCCCACTACTCATTTCCAAACAGTGCTCCAAATTTAGTAAATCATAATATAACAACCATGTAAGCTGATTATATAAGATTAATTTGATCTGTTGATAGTGATCAACATGAAAGATTTGCAAAAACCATTAACCTTATGTAAATGATCTTTAATTCTCTAAGTTCCTATATCTTTACTGCAGTATATCTGAAATTATTATGGCAAAATTGATTTAAAAGTTAAGAGATGCTTCCCCCCTTCTACTCTGAGTCTGTGTATTTAGAATTTCACCATCCTCAGTGTGAATGACATGAGGAAGCAAGCTAGTAAGGGGATTATTAAGTCATTATACTGCATGATCCCTGGAAATCTGATTCTTAAAACCATGAATGCAGAAGGTTAAATGAGTGCCCAAAAGGACCAGAGGTCTTATTTTTGCTAATTTTATGACTTTGATTACCAGAAAGTCCTTGGTACTTACAGCTTCATAGTCTGCTAGTTCCAACCTTGCTTTATTTTGCATTGTTCTCTTGCAGAGGTAAACCGCTGAAAGGAAAAGAAAAATCAATCATTTCTTGCCTGCTTATTAACACTGAGGCACTACAAATCAAAATATAGCAATCAAGATGTGTTGGTCTTTGCTACTTTTTCCCAAATTATGTTTTTTATTTCCTCTTTTATCTGTTTTTAAACAAAAAATATTTAATTAAGTAGTATTATTAGTGACACTCAAACATGGTGACATTTATGATGTCATAAGTTAAAAAACTTGGTAATCACTTCTTTATTTTTTTATTTTTATTATTTAAAAAATTGTTTTTTATTGTACTTCAGGTAAAGGCTTACAGAACAAATAGTTTCTCATGAAACTGTAGTACACATATTCTTTTATGACACTGGCTAACAACCCCATGACATGTCAACCCTCTCCCTTCTCGACTTTTTTTTTTTTTTGGTGAAAATATACATAGCCAGTGGGGACCATGGTCTCGGGGAACATCTAGCTCAATTGGCATAACAGTTTATAAAGACAATGTTCTACATTCTACCTTGGTGAGTAGCGTCTGGG